ACAATACACATAACACAACCCACAATCCAGTCATTATCAGTGCATCCAGGAGACCTATCCTCCACTTATTTTCACAGTCCAGGTTTCTTGTATTCTGCAAACAGAAAAGTATTAGCAAAGCTATGTCACACTTCTTGCCTATTCCTCACTGCCTAGGCAGGCAAAAGTGGTTGTGACTTGGACATTGCAGCCTGACAGTTGTAGGGGCATGTTTTGTGTTGTTTTTGTGTCAGAGTGCCTCGTTGTTGGTTGTACTGGCATCCATCTTGTTTCATTCTCGGGCTCAAATATGAGCACTGTTTAACACTTCACTGGATTTTCAGAATTACATAACAGCTCAGAGGTAAGAACATGTGAGTAACAGATTTGAATCAAACCCTCCTCCCGTATTAAGTAGGTCAGTAGTTCACACGACATGCAGTATATTAATTATCTAGAGCAAACCTTGCTCTATTTATATAGCAATTTTAAAAATAGAATTACAGAGAAAACTATATACAAAACATTTTTGAAAACCAGAAATATACATAGATCTAACAATTTAATTACTAGTTATAGTATCCAACAGATAAAAGAATAAAAAATGTAAGTATCAGACCAGCGAAGGGTGGGAGGGGAGACTCTTAAGAATGAACATACCAAATGAGTTAAGTATGGCATGTATACATTTAATAACAAAAATTATCTATTCTTGCAACATATTATAAAATTAATGCCAAAGGGAATCATATTAATTCCTTTTTCTGCCTACTTTTAAATTTTTGCTACCTTTTCTCCTTGTTTGCTACTCATGTCTTCAGGCTTCCTAGCAGATCCCAAAGTGATGGCTGCCATACAGGTGACAGAGGAAACCATCGTAGTGGGTGGGCAGACTCTGTTCTCCCGCCAGGCTAAACCTACACAACAGGCTCCTCGCCTTTCCCTCCTGCTGCTCCATGGCATTCGTTTTTCATCAGAGACGTGGCTCAACCTGCAGACTTTGTCTAAGTTGGCAGAAGCTGGATACCATGCTGTAGCTATTGACCTGCCAGGTAGGCTTGACTCTCAGTGGGCAATGGAGATTTGGGCAAAAGACCGGTGTATACAGTTTGATATTTAAGAAGACTCATTTTTGCTTCTGTCTCACCAGAAGCAAAAATAAGGCAGAATATATAAAATCTGATTCCAACAAATTGTGGTTAAAAATGAGGCTTTGGTATTATATGATACAATACCAAAGTAAAAGAATTATTCTTTCTCTGACTAATTATTATGTTAACATGATAAATTATGCATTTTATGATTATTTTTAATAACTAAACACACACACACTTGCTATGAAATGTGCAAACTAATTCTAAAATATACTTTTGCTCAGTTCAAACATCAATCCAACAAATGGATTGTTTTAGGATAACTTTGGTCTCACTGTCATGGTATTCAACTTCGTAAGTTCATTTCCATCTTTATGGTTGTCTTATATTATAAAATGGGCAAACATAGTATGTAAGAAAACATATAAAAGCTGTTCCTTATGAAAGAGACGTGTCACCGTGTTATATGTTTTTCTGGATTCAAGGGAAGACATAGATTTTTCCCCCAATGCTTTTTTTATAGGCAAGGGATATTTGTAATAAAATGCATCTGTTAATAGTTCTTTTGTCCAGAGATACAATTTGCTGGTTGTGACTCTTCCTGGATTCTCCAGTTCATTCCCTTTTTCTATCTGCAGTCAGTAGTTTATACACACAATAAACATCCTCATTTCTCAGAGTACTAATTTTGGGTGTTATGTTTTTTTTCTTAACATTTTTTTAAAATTGTGAAATCAGAGACTACCTTTTTCTTATGCTATATTGGTTACCTTATAATAAATATTTAAAGATCGTATAAATACACTATATTGCCAAAAGTATTTGCTCACCCATCCAAATAATCAGAATCAGGTGTTCCAATCACTTCCATGGCCACAGTTGTATAAAATCAAGTACCCAGGCATGCAGACTGTTTTTACAAACATTTGTGAAAGAATGGGTCATTCTCAGGAGCTCAGTGAATTCCAGCGTGGAACTGTGATAGGATGCCACCTGTGCAACAAATCCATTCGTGAAATTTCTTCGCTCCTAAATATTCCACAGTCAACTGTCAGCTGTATTATAAGAATGTGGAAGTGTTTGAGAATGACAGCAATTCAGCCACGAAGTGGTAGGCCACATAAACTCATCCAACATCAGTGTGTGACCTCACAAATGCGCTTCTGGAAGAATAGTCAAAAATTCCCATAAACACACTCCTGAACTTTGTGGACAGCCTTCCCAGAAGAGTTGAAGCTGTTGTAGCTGCAAAGGGTGGACCAACATCATATTGAACCCTATGGATTAGGAATGGGATGTCACGTACAGTAAGTTCATATGCGAGTAAAAGCAGGTGAGAGAATACTTTTGGCAATATAGTGTATGTGGGAATGTAGATTTATATAATCAGTAATAACAGTTTGCAATAGTGATGAATATCAGTAGCTCGGGTGTAGAATGAGGGTGGTAGTAAAAACATTAATTGGGACCAGCAACTTGGCTGATGCACAACATTGTCGCTTAATCCCAAAATCAAGTGATTGTGATGGGTTTAGCCACCTTATTTCCCCTTTGGTTTTTAAGCAAAGTGATGGAGTCACTAAGCAAAAAATAATGCCACTTAAGATTTCATTTCTGCATCCTCTGTTAATTACTTGTCACAAGTATGAATGGTGATCATGTAAATGCAATGATTGGTTGCAAAGTTATTTTTTTTTATTGCTGTCATAACTTCAGTTGGTTGCTACATAAGGCAGTCAGTAAGCAAGGACCACAAGCAATGACAATTGGTAAAAGTATAATATATGGAAGGAATTAGTTGTTTTTTCTTCTGCCTTGGAAAATCTAGTGAATCAATCCACATGGAAACAAAGAGTGGTCCTTGTACTTCCAGTTGCAGGGACACATATCTTCACAAAGCCAAGACTTGCAATAGCAATGGCAATGGCTATTAGACTTATATACCACTTCATAGGGCTTTCAGCCCTCTCTAAGCGGTTTACAGAGTCAGCATATTGCCCCCAACAACAATCCGGGTCCTCATTTTTACCCACCTCGGAAGGATGGAAGGCTGAGTCAACCCTGAGCCGGTGAGATTTGAACAGCCGAACTGCAGAACTGCAGTCAGCTGAAGTAGCCTGCAGTGCTGCATTTAACCACTGCACCACCTTGCAATAGGATGATGTAGTGAAATATAACCAGAGGGTTTTGGAACAGGATTTTGGAGGTGCTTCCCATCTGAGTCACAGTTCTCTATCCCGCTGAAAAGAATAGACAAAAACATCTTACTGGATGATTTACCACAATTTTGATGGTATACTATTGCTTCAAGTGTCACAAAAGTGAAACTCGGGGGTTACATGCAGGCCATGATTCCCATCTACCACATTTATAATTTAAGTCCTTATATATCGCTCAATCCTCAAACAACCCCTTCGAGAATTCCTAGCCAAAAGGGCAGTTGTCCCTTTGAGCTGGGAATGCTAGGAGTTATAGTTACCGTCTGACTGAGGATGCTTGGTGGAGAGGGCTACACATACAGAATATGTGTGATGCAGGACGTCTTGTTTCTTGTAATCCAGGATTTGGCCGCTCTAAAGATGCTGTGGCTCCAGCTCCTGTTGGACAGCCGGCCCCAGGCAGTTTCTTGAAGGATGTCTTGGAGGCCCTGAAATTCGACCAAGCAGTGGTGATCAGTCCATCTCTCAGTGGCATGTATTCACTCCCATTCCTTTTTCAGCACAATCACCTTCTGAAGGCCTACATCCCGGTGGCTCCCATCTGCACAGAGAAGTTTCCTCCCACCCAATATGCCAGTGTCAAGGTATGTTCGTCTAAAGAAGAATGGAAATCTGTAGCAGGTCTTCTTTGGCATAGGACATAATTAGAAGGGCTGAGTTATCTCAGTTACGCAACTGGCATTTCACAACTATGTGAGGAAAATGTAGATGAAAGTGGATTTTACAGATTTATTGTAAAACTTGCAGGAGTTCATCAGCTGTCCATTAGGTGGCAATGCGCACTGCCTTACCCTCAAGTACAATACTAATATGGTAAAACAGACCTATATTCAATCTGGGGAATATTTATAGCTTTGTGAAGATGTACCAAGAAAATGGGCAATACCATTCTAGAAGAATACTCAGATGTGTTCAGAGAATTCTCTCTGGGTTCAGTTTCATTTTATGCATGTTTTATTGCATTGGCTGAATAAGTTCCACATTTGCATCAACAGTCAGAATCTGGTACACTTAAAATGAATGTAGTTTTGAATGTAGAAGAATTACAACAATCACTGCGATAAATTTCTGTGAACATTCTCTAACCTTTATCATGCCTCTTGTGAGTGTAGAGCATTTAATTTCACCCCTATCCAGATTGCTCCCTTTTTTGGGATTTTAGCCTTTTCTAATCTGTAGAATGCACCTTTGCCCTTGCAAATATGATCTGCACGTTTTTTTAAGCTAGGGTGATGGTGGGTTTTTGATAATAATGGGAATTCCCTGTAGTCCTGCTGAAAATATCTGCTGCAGTTACTCTGTTTTGCAAATGTAGACGGTTTGTTTTTGCTGAAGATTTGCATTTCTATCACCACTAGGAAAGGATCATCCTCTTGCTAATACTGATTGGATGTATTTATAGCCTGAAAACTGGGCTAAGAGCATGCCATTATAAAACACAGAGAGCAAGTACAAATTAGCTACATGGTTAATGTAGCCACATAAATTGAATAGCAATACGGGAAGTATTTTTTTTTTCCTGGAAGAGAGCACCTCTGTCTCTATTTTTCATCTGAACTAATTTTTCATTATTAGAATCTAAGACAGACAAAAATGTTCATTCATTGATTGAACCGGGCTTGATTTCTCTCTTTCTCTCCTGCACACAGACACCAGCTCTCATTGTATATGGGGATCAAGATGCCCAACTGGGTGAAGTGAGCCTGAACAACTTGAAGAATTTACCTAATCACAAGATAATGATGATGAAAGGGGCAGGGCATGCCTGTTATCTTGACAAGCCAGATGAGTGGCACCAGAGGCTGCTGGATTTCCTGAAGAACATAGAGTAAACAGCAAATCAGCCAGCACTGGCCTAGCCAACCCATAATCAATGAGGACCTAACCAGTTTTTTCTAGCATACACATGTAAGGAGCTGGGATTTCTTTCTGCAGTTCCGTCAGTTAACCTGAGTGGGGCCCAGGTTGTTTATGGACTGTCTAACCATGATAGACCTAAACCTATCAGAAAGTGTTACATCCAGAATGCATTCATTGATTCATGATTCATTAATTGCATAATTAAGGCAACCAGGTACAATTTTTCTTGTTTGGGTCATGAGATATTTGAAGTCAAATTTACATAAAATAATCATTCATAGAAATGTATAGGATCTGTGCATGGATATATTAGGAGTTGGTCCTTGGTATCATGAGCTCTAATGCCAAGATTTTAATCATGAACAGTTTTTTTTTTTTCAAAGCTGATTGAGTGCTGGCTGAGATAAATGTAATAAAGGTAAGGCAATGGCTGGGTTTAAGTATCTTATAAACATATGATGATTTAATTTTTTTTTGACTTAGCACCCCAAAGAATCTATCCATTATAACATATCATCATGTATGACACCGGAGTGGTGATTAAAATTAAAATCCTGGTTTGTTAGCATCAGACAAAGTTAATATGGCTTATTTACTATAGAAAAGCCAAAATGTCAAAATATATTTTTCTAACCCATAGATTCTTCTATAAGCTAACTTTCATTGAGCGCTATTATGTCTTTGTCCTTGTTATCTTTATTAGCAAGACACTTTTTGTTTTGATGACTGGGCATAGCGTTCTCGAATTTGATGGACTATGTTGGGTTTTAATTTCCATAATTCTCATCAGGCTTGGAAACCATGAATGGGAATTGTGCTAATCAGAATGTATAGGAGTTGGTGTCCATTACATCTGGACATCGAGTAGCAGGTTTGGAGAAAGCTATACTGCAATTTATGCTATTTGACCACACATGTTTTTGCATCTGGATTAACTTCTTTAGAATGGAAGAACCGCATCCATTTTTCTGTTACCAGAACCCATAATGGCACTAGAAACTTTGTGAAGAGCACTTATATTGAGGCAGAATGTATGTTGGCACCATCCTCTGATTTTAATGAATGTTATATTGGGGGATAAATTCTTACTTTCTCCTGCTGTTTTTCAAAGAAAATTGACAAGGTCTGTACATATGTTACATGACACTTTCACTCTTGAAAGCCTGATTTCTTCAAGAATGTACAAGTATTCATAGTGATAAACTTGTCTTCCAAAGAGGTTAAAGGGACTATTTAATTAGAGCTGCGCTTAACTATAGCTGTAGAACTAGCAGGATTCCCTGGATAGCACCTGTATAGTCAATTGAAGGAGAAACTGATCCCACTTTTTGAACAAGAGAATGTGAACATCCTGTTGCACTTTCATACTTGTTCCTTTGCTCGAAATATAGATCAAAGGGAATGCAGACTTCTGAGAATAAGATTGGCGCAGAAAAATTAATAACAATAGTTGTACAGGTGCTGCCTAGATTTCAGGTGAGTTCCTGCTGTACCAGTTTTGATTATCAAAATGGATCCATTTGTAATCAAATAAACCTGATTTATACCTGTTTTTATAGTGATTTATTTTAAAAAGAAATCTAAATACACCATATTTCTGTAAATGATATTGGAGTAGATTTACAACAATGGTGTGAAAAACTGGTAATAATATTTGGTCTGTGTGGAGCTGGTTTTAGTATTACGTGATAGCCATGCTGTTTTACTTTTTTCAAAACTAAATTAAATATGCCTATAAGAGTATAAATCAAAGATAGATTCCACATACATTAACAGGTATCAACATCATAAATAAAAGTTTAATCCATCATTTGGACAAAACATTCTGGAAAGTATCATTTCCTTCTTAAAAGGTCAGAAAACTATCAGCAGCCATGCTATTAAATTCAGGACATGATAGTCCTGAAAGAGGCTCTTAGCCTAAGAAGCTGAGCATCTGCCAAATCTTAACTACATGGTCTTCAAAACTGAAATTAGTTTTAGACAGTATATACTGTAGATATACAATTCTAGAAAGGGACAAGAATTCTTTCTACTGGGCGGGGAAAATTTGTGGTGTAGCAAATGAGGATAATTAGAAGACTGTGAGAAATCTCTGTTGTTTTACTCTTAACACAGTGCTTTTATCAGGTTGGTCAAAACTTCAGCAGAACAATGGGAAATCATACTGTAAAAGAGAGAATGAATCTGTAGCCCTCTTGATATGATTGGTTTATATCTTTCATGTTCCTCAATCACTGGTATGAAGGGCTAATGGGAGCCGAACATTTGTAGTACCATCAGGAACAGCTGGATCTGTCTTATACAATAACAGATTATCTAACCAGGATTGGGATCTTCTCTGTGTAGAACACAAATACATAACATTTGGGATTAAAAAGCCACAATTGCCTTTTGAGTGTTATGTGGGTAGTGTATGCAAAATGTAAATGCTTCTGGGACAAAAAAACTTAAGGTAAAGGTTCCCCTTGCACATATGTGCTAGTTGTTCCCAACTCTAGGAGGCAGTGCTCATCTCCATTCCAAAGCCAAAGAGCCAGCGCTGTCCGAAAACATCTCTGTGGTCATGTGGCCCGCATGACTCAATGCTGAAGGCGCACGGAACGCTGTTACCTTCCCACCAAAGGTGGTTCCTATTTTTGTACTTGTATTTTTACATGCTTTCGAATTAGTGGGTTAGCAGAAGCTGGCACAAGTAACTGGAGCTCACTCCATTACGTGGCACTAGGGATTCGAACCACTGAAATGCCGACCTTTCTGATTGACAAGCTCGGTTGAGCCACATGCCCTTTCAGAAAAAAACTTGCATTCCTTTTAAATTGATTAAAATCAAATTAAATCTGTTAGCATAAGTGTAACTAACAACATTTACCTTCATTTATCAAATTACGACCTAGTGACAATTTGGGGTTGGACTTCAGGAATCACCTGCAAGACTTTCTAATCAAACACCCACCCTCAGACTCTGCATTAGTGAGGTAGGCCATGTGCCCTGCCTAAGTTGAGGCTAACCCTGTCCCTCCGCTGCCCTTTCCCTCACGGCATACACATCCAGCTTAGTACAATATGAAAAAAAAAATGCCAGCTCAGCTCTCGTATAAAACCACAAGTAGATTCCTTTAAACTCCTAGGGGATTATTACATTAGCAACCAAGGTGAACAGATGGGAAACAGGTTAAAGATGGCTATTCCAGAGCCACCTGGCCTGGTTCCTTTGTGTTTGTTTTCCCCAGATGGACTGTGGACAGATGGAGCCAGTGGTAAGAAGTAGAGAAGAAGGCTGTAATTGTCACACTAAGCTCTGAGTAGCTGAAGGCCGGCCGGGATGGCTGTCAAGCATCCAACTTTATCCTGTCAGGCAGAGGATTTGTTGGCAGAGGGTGGGCCAGGCCTGATGGGCCTTTAGTCCACAGCCAGAGACATCCCTTGAAATCTAGGATCTAAAGCCCTGGGATTGACTGCACCTCAAAGTGCACTGGCATTTCTAAGAAGCTGAGGCCTTTAATGCTGAAATGTTGTGGTATGAAAACACATCAAAGCTACTGGAATGTGGAGTGGACTCATATGCAGAGGCGTTGGTGTAAAACGAGTAACCGATGGAAAAGGATTCAAGTCCTACAAGACCAACCACAGCTATATTGGCCGAAAATATAATCTACCATGGTAGCATCGCTGTTAATGAATCTTCAAGGCAAAAGATGCTAGGGCTTCAGATTTCTGGCCCTCCACATGTTACTACACTATCTTTCCAGCCAGCTGCCATAACTAAGCTAAAGTCAGGCCAATAGTGAGAGATGCTGATAGGTGTAATTCAGCAATATCTAGAGGGCCAATTTTCTTCATTGTATTCAAAACATTCCATTAAGTCAGACAATTTCAAACTCCCTTCTAGGTGTCCATTGAAGTTATAGCTTCCAGAATCTCAGCAAGCAAGAACTATTTAGAAAATTAGTACGGCTAGAAAATCAAATTACTACTCATCTGTAGCAAATGAAGCATCTCTGTGACAAGGCAAGCTAGTTTTACAACTGGAGAAACATGTTTTACTTCTCTGTACTCCTAGTTCCAAGCCTTTGAACAAGCTCTTTTATGCTTAAACAATTTGTGATCATTTTATTTCATGGTAATTCAGTGTAACTTATTGTCCTTGCCATCCAGTCTTTGATCTTGCATTTGATTCTAATGCAGTAATAGATATTTTTGTATTTCTTACAGATTACATATTTCTTACATATTTCTGTATTGTTATTTTGTAACAAAGTATGAGAGTATATGAACAAAACAATCTTTTTCATATTTGCAAGTATGTAAACGTGGATTTTAGTAGCTGCTAAAAAGTGAGGTTTCCTGGCTGGATGAAAATGGCTATTTTTACTTTAGCATTTGAAAGAAGGAACTTGCTAGAGAAAATCCAGTTAGGTTTTCATTCACGTCCTAACATGGTGCTGAGGCTGTCATAAGAAGCACTGGATTATTTCCATATAAATATAAAAAAAATAATAACAAGTCTACAAAGAATAATTACTTCCATCAGCAATCTTTGCTCCAGTAAAAGCATGTTGCCTGCTCTCCCCTCTTTTTTTCATAGTGGTGGGCCCTTGCCTACTGAGAAAGATTGACATACTTGAATGACAAGTTTAGACTGCCCCTCTCTGCAAATTAAGCATCCAATCTGCCTCTGTTCATGGGCACCGCTCCACCTTTAGAGCAGTTGTTTAGTGCATACACAATTTCTTATGTACTCAGTTGCATCCAGTTCTTGTTTGGATAGTTGGTAGCAGCTCACATTACTGTGTAGCTTTTCTCACATCCCACACGCGTCACATATCACTGCCAAGGCTGCGCTGATGACTGCTCACTGGTGTAAGCTGCATTCTTCATTGTGTGCTTCAGATTTCTGTGCAGATTTAATTGTGAGTGAATGGGGTGAACTCTACACTGTGTGTTCAGAAAACAAGGGTGGTGTCATAGAAGTATAAGCCAAAACAACAGATGGGTTTTTGTTCACTCATTACAGAATCCGGGTTGAGAAGGATTTTTAGTTCAGGAGAGATCAATAATCAGGACTTCTGGGCAAGAAATTGTGCAATGTAGCTGATGGCTTCAGCAAATGAGAAACAGAATGAAAAGCCAACTCTTTGGAATTCCTCTCTAGACAAGGAGAGGACGAAAATCATCCCCAAGTGCTCTAGACAGTTGCTCCTTACAAGGAGACCACAAATCAGTCATTTCCAGCGGTTT